TGTGCCTTTCACACCTTTATGCTATCGACCTTTTCTTTTCCAGTGTGAGTTTTGTGTTGTTATTATTATATGGCTAGATATGAAAATATTTTCAATCATCTGATAAGCTCACTTGGCTGTATAATCATTCTCCAACCCCCTGAAGTGAGATGGTTGTGCTCACTTCTCCAGACGAAATAATCTTTTGCAGCAGTGACAAGCCACATGACAGCAGCTGGGTCGCAGACACATTTGCCTGGAGTTCCTTGATGTCCTCACATGCACACTCTGCACCAAGAGAAACCCTCATGAGGGACACTGTTCCCGCACTGGAGCTTGAATGGGGAAGACTGAAGAGGAACATCCCTCTCAACAAGGAGTCTGTGGTGCCAGGAAGGATTTTTATTATTCTTTACACAGTAAATAATAAACGAGGTGGTTTAATTAGAATTATAGAACCATTTAGGTTGGAAAAGATCTTTAAGATCATCAAGTCCAAAACACATGTGCCCAAGGCTCCTATAAAGCTACAGAGCCTCCTAAAGAGTTGAATGCCCACAGACATGGAGGCCCTGGAGACACCAGGTCTGCGGGCATGCTGGAGTTAGGCAGTGGGCTAGGACTCCTTTCTGCCTTGAGATATAGGATAAGGGCAAAGTCCTTGGCTCTGCAGAAGAGCTGGGAGTTCAAGCATGACCTTAGCATGCAAAACCACCAAGAACTCAAAGGAGGGAACAGGGAATACCACAACTTTTGTGGCCTAGTCTTTGCCAATATTATGCATCAGTAGAGCCTAGTTCTTCACCCTCTTCCGAGGAGGGCCGGCAAGGAACTGCCCTTCTCACTTGGAGGTGCTCAGCTAAGTGCCAACCTGCTCCTCCAACCCCAGCAGCTATCGCTGGCAGATGGAGAGCTGAAGCTTACTTTGGGATAGACCAGCTGCCCAAGGGAGGCCATACTATCTAGTCTCGTATCTGCACTGAGGTGTTGGCCCTTTGATTCATGATGCCACCTTGCTCCCATAAGGCGAAGCAGAGCAGAGTCTGGGAGATATCAGCATTGCTGCTGGCACTTCACAGACAGACAAAGCAAACAGAGCTAGAAGAGCGCCTCAAGGCACCAGGAGATCGGGGAACCAAAAGCAAGTTTCCCTGGATCACAGCTGATGTGCCACCATGTTACAGCACTTGCAGCAAGAACCAAGAGGACCTGAGTGCTTGGCCACTTTCAGCCTGCCTTATAAATTTCATAGGTTTTAAAGTCAGAAGGGGCAATTCCTGTCAACTTGACCTTTTGTAATATAGAGGTCTGGGAATTTCCTCCTGTGGGACTTGCTCTTAAGAGCACAGATTGCAGTTTAACTGAGAGACCTTTTTGCAAGACAGTCAGTCTTAATTTGAAAACCTTACACAATAGAGAATCCAGAACATCTTTTAACATTTTGTTCCAGTGACAAATTACTCTACCTGTCAAGCACGAATAGTTTAAATCATAGATTTATTTCTTCCTGCAAAGTAAGTATATTTCAATAGCTTGACAGCTGGAGTTCATCTGACCTGAAACCCGGATTACTATATTTGGCCAGATGAGTCTTACCTCTCCAATGACTCCAAAACCAAGGCATTAACTACAAGATGATTCATTGCCTTTGAAATTTAAGTATAGAGAAAAAAGAAAAAAGTCTTTTTGTTTTCATGGACCTGCCAGCTGAATAAGGCGCAGAAGCTCTCTCAAGGCAGCTACACTGAAAACAAACAGAACCACAACTTGCAGCAATTTAAGGGTGCCTGCTGCCAGGGAAAATGCCATCGGCAGTTAACTCCATCTTTCCCTCCCCACACTTCAATTCTGGAGCTCTTGAAATCTGGCATATCAAACTGTCCTGTGCAGTGCCCTGCCCTATATGGTTAGCAAACAGCTGCCTTAATTACATCTCATACAGGCCAGACCATTCTGGAAGGTAAGGCTATGTTCTCTGTAGCTCTCCCTCCACTGGTGGCAGTCTGAGCCTGACCCTTTCCACATGGTAATGGCTCTCTACTCAGCAGTGCTTGATGCTTCTCCAACAGATCCCAGAAAAACTGAAGCTTTACATAGTGGGGATATGGTTAAGATAAAAATTCTAACCTGAAACTGGTACTTTATTCCAGTTTTAATAAGGGTAATAAAGTACAACTACTGAGGCACAAGTAAGGCAAGGGTACACACCAGGTGGACGCAGGAGGGAATGCACTAAAAAAGAAAAAAAACACACACACACAAAAAAAACAGCAACAAAAAAACACAAAACAAAAATAAAACCCACACCTTGAATCAAAAGTCTTAAGGTCTGCAGTAAGTATTTTAATAAATTGACGAAGTCCGTTGAAGATATGATGTGGCAGAAGAGCAGAAAAAAAACTAACAGTCCTGAAGGGAAATGAGAACTGACCTCTGCAGCTATGTTGGTTGATCACAGTAGTATACTAGACTTCTACACAGATTTTGAGGGATAAACTTTCAAGACAAAAATAGAATAAAGCAGCATGCTAACTGCAGATAGACCATACCAAACAAACTCGTCAACTTTCTTGCCAAAAGCCATTTGATTTTTAGATGGTGAATTGCAGGAAACCACATTCATCCAGACTTCACCGAATTGTTTGGTATGGCACCGTGTGGGAAGTTATGAGTTATTTTAAGGCAGTACAATTAATACAGGAAAAATGCAGCAGGACACAGATCAGCCAAAGAGCAAAAAGAATTGTATTTACAGAGGACACAGGCTGGAAGAAAGCTGTTTGTGTAATCCTTTTAGCACTGGATTCAGGCCTGTAATACTTTTCCTTGCATGGAATAGCTAATAAAAAGAAGTGACAAGTGAAATATGCTGGGTGATGCTGCACAGTATGCTGAATGCAGAGTAGGACTGCATACTCAGAAGACTGCATTAATTGAAAGAACAGTAATAGAAGTTAAATGTTACAAAGGGCAAGGGACAAATGCTGACCTCTTGTTCCTTTTGCCCAAAGAATAAGATGCCTGACAGCAGCACATCGCCACCCAATAACCTATACTTTGGCCTTTGTACCAAGTACAGGCACCTCATCTCCTCCCACCTGCCCCAAAATCCCAGCCCAAAAAGGAAAGGAATAGAACACAAAGAGAGCGTGTAGATGTATTGCCTGAAAGGGTTAATTCCATTTTGCTCTTACAAGCTGGAGAGGAAGAGGACTTGGAAGCTATTGGTATAGATGACTTCCTTTCCATGGCAAAGTTTACTGACAGCTGCTTAAAAATACAACCAACACTAGCATTTTACGGTGTGAGTATAGACATTTTATTTTTTAAAAAGGAAAAAAAAAAAAGAATACATCATTTTAGTGACTGGAAATGTGTATAAAGTTACATATTTCAAGGAATTCACACATTAAAGAAACGGGTTTTGAAAGAGCTTCTCTAATGCAGTGGCATTGGACCTACAAATTCTTTCACAACCGATACTGCTTATTTAAAATACTCTGTAATAATATGGCCTTGGGAGAGCCAGTGATCCCCTGAAATGCCGGAACTGCTAGTACAGGAGGTGCCTGACCTCATTCCCTCAGCAGGGACACCCCAGTAATTCTGCAAGGTACAAAAGGAGATGTTCCAAACAACACAATGCCATAATCTAAGGCCACCTCAGGAAAATCCAACGGTATCTCAAAGCTGTCAGAGTACAGGCAGTTCCCACACATCTTTAAATTGACTCATCCCAAGCCTGGTATTTAGTAACAGCTTTAAGGAGTATATTTATATAGAAATATATTTTTTTTTTTAAAAAAAACCCAACACTATAGTGAAATTTACATGAACACACACAGCTTTAGCAATACCATGTTTCCAGTAGAACTTGGCTATTATCTGCTTGCAGTTTATATACAAAGCTGATTAATTAGAAAGGCTGCTACAAGGACCCAAGCTTTCTTTCCAGGTTAGCCCCTGGCTAGAACAAGGATTTCCCATGTGTTAAGTTCTAGGAGTTGGCAATATTAAAAATTGTGATTAGAACACCAGGGTGCAGTCGTTTGTAAACATTTTGTCTTACTATTAAACTAAAATCCAGTGCATTCTCACACTATTCTCTGTCATTATGGATCATCTGATTGATACAATGTTCTAGGAATTCATGGGAAAGATAAAAAGTCTGGCCAATAAAAATCCTTTAGACAAGTCCATTCCGGGTGCCAAGTTACTGAGTTAGAACAACCAAGCATGAATTTGATCCATAGTAGAATCACAGGCAATATTTTTCTGGGATGTAGGAGTTTCCATTTCATGTTAGAAAAACAATTTAAGTTTTGCACAATCCCCACTCTACAGATGGAGACACAGGTTTGGAGGGAAGCAGTTTGCCAAGCTCACGGGCAAGGCCAGCAACACAGTCCAAAAGAGCTCCAGATTCCTGAACAACAGGCTCATATTGGAGGTGTTGCACAGCAATGCCCGCTTCTCTCCCAACTCCTACAGTCCTCAACCCCTTTCTACGAGGGAAAGTAGAACATCTCTCTTATGAGGAAAGGCTGAAGGACTCGGGTCTTTTTAGTCTAGAGAAAGGAAGACTGAGAGGGGATCTTATCAACGCTTACAAACACTTAAAGGGAGGTGCCAGGGGGATGGGAGCAGTCTTTTTTCAGTGGTGCCCAGTGACAGGACAAGAGGTAACGGGCACAAACTTGGACATAGGAAGTTCCATCTAAACATGAGGAGGAACTTATTTATTTTAAGGGTGGCAGAGCACTGGAACAGGCTGCCCAGAGAGGTTGTGTCTCCCACTCTGGAGACATTCAAAACCCGCCTGGACGCTGTCCTGTGCAACCTGCTGTAGGTGAACCTGCTCTGGCAGAGGGCTTGGATGAGATGATCTCCAGAGGTCCCTTCCAACCCCTGTCATTCTGTGATTCTGTGATTACATGGTACTGCATTTGGGGAAAGGCTCACAGGAAAACGCTTAAAGCAAATGCATCAGGGATATAAACACATGCACACACACGCACAAAAAAAGCTAGAATATCTCAAGACAGGAAAAAAACATCTTCCTGTTGTTCTTGAAGCTCTTCTTAACTCCTTCCTCCTCTTTGCCAGCTGCAGTCCTGAGTAATGAATGTCTGCCAGATCTGGGCTTCCTCACACCCTTTCCTTGTGCTTCACGTTGGCCAGCTTGACTGTTTCCTGCTCAGAGGCAGGTGGAGAAGGCTCATCGTGACATCCAATCATCAGCTGATAGACCATCACTCCTGCAATGGCCCCAAGGAATGGAGCAACGACTGGAACCCACCACCACTGTTTACCAGTCCTGGAAAACAAAGAGAAAGTGCACAAGATGAGAACTGCAGCCTACGTATTAGGATATTCATGTCTGGATCTGGAACAATGTGAGATCTGGTCATCTCCAAACATCAACATTGACTTGCAAAAGACAACAGTACCCTCACGTGCACAGAAATTTCCAAGGCAGATATTGCCCCTCACTGCAAGTTCAGGTGACAAGCAATTCAGAACAGCTGCTTCCAGGACTTCAAAGACCGTCTCTCCACCAAGGAAGGAGAGAAGCAGTTGCAATGCCCGAACTAGACACCACTTCACTCCCACTGCTTGCAGGAAAGCACATACTGCTCGTGGGTCTCTTAATTTTCTCCAGCAACAATAAATTCCAAATACAACAAATGCCTTACATTTTCTACCGCTAAAAAAAAATTATTATTATAGCCTCATGTTCAAGGTGCATCTGAACTTCTCATGGATGCTCTTAGATTTGCCTCCCTGATAGCAAAGATTAGTCATTTGCTCTTGCTGCTGGAAACTGCCGTGATTTCTTAAGAAATTGGAACAGAGCAAACAGTGTCTTTTAAAAAAGTTTATAAAATCCAAATATAACTCTGGGGGTTAAGACTCTTTATGATGCCAGAGCCACCACCTACTTGCACTTGTAATTTTTTTCCCCTTGATGCACAAGGTTTTGACTTACCAGAATACTTCAGTGCCGTAGCCAGCGATGGCTGTGAAGAGACGAGGCCCAAAGTCCCTGGCAGGGTTGACAGCGTAGCCAGAGTTGAAGCCCATGGAGGTTCCAATAACAAGGACAACAAAACCAACTGTGAAAGCCTCTAGCCCCGTGGGGACAGGGTTGTTGTAGGGATCAACAATAGCCAAGACACAAACAATCAGGGAGGCAGTGCCAATGAACTGGGGAGGGAAGGGGAAGAAGAAGAAAAATTTAATGCAGGTTAAACTTTTAACCAAATATTTAACTCCTCTGAAGTCCCATGCATTTAGGACTTATTCCCTAAATTCAAAGAGCTGTACTAAGTCATCCCATGGCATTATCAGACCTCAGTAGACTGAGGACTCACAGGTATGAGATAGTGGAACCCACAGGCTTGATCAAGCCCACACCTATTTCCCTACCCATAGAAGAACTATGAATAACTGTGTGAGCAGCCAGAAAAGCTGAAGACATCTTCCTGAACATGCTTCCAACCTGCCACAGCTGGGTAGCAGCTGTCCCTTCGTGGCTGATGGCCACTTTAAGGAGGAGACAGTGACCTCCAACACCAACCCCCACCCCACACCCAGTTGACCTCTGGGTTGTGCAACAGCGGCAGTAGCACAGTGAGGTGAGGAAGAGCCATCCTTCCTCACGCTATTGTGCTTCAGGGGCAGAGATCAAGTGGTATCCTTTTCACTGGTGTCCCGGCCAGTCTTGTTGGACTGGTTAATCCCCTTAACACAAGCCTTCTTTCTGTAGTGCTGGTTTCTGGCTCTGCTCTTCCTATGGGCTAGAGAAATACGTGTGCTAGCTCTAAGAACCTTTCTGGAAGTCTCCTGAAAGATTTTTCTTGAAATACACCTTCATCCTCCCAGCGCCCTCTTACCTGGTCAAAGAATCCATTCACAATGTTCAGATGCTGAGATGGGTAGGTGGCAAAGATACCAGCAGTTCCATTTTGTCCTGTTACATACAGCTGGTTGCTGCCAAAAGCCCAGATAGCATCTAGAGGGGAGGGGGAGAGGAAGAAAAAAAAAGAAAGGTAGAGAGGTCAGTTATTTTCCAATATGGATCAGAGAGATGACCCTGCTTGGAAGATGACTAAAATGTAGGCTCCACAGAGCCATGAATATTGAGACAGAATTCCCTGTGCACCCCACTGCTATGTGTTGCAAAGCCATTTGGAAAACCTAGGGTGTGATCCACCACAGCATGTTACCAGTCAGGCTCATATGCAGGTGGCCTCAGTCCCTGTTCCTAATATCTCTTGTTTGCCAGGCACGAGGAAAGTGTTAGAGCCAAAAAGCAAACACTAAGCTGACTCTACGTATCTCCCAAAGGTACCCAAATGCTTGTGGTATCAGCCTTGGTGTCAAGACAGAGATACTGCTATGGATCTGATCTGCAGCAAGCAGGACTGGGGCTGGTCTTGCACTTTCCTCTAAGCCAATACACAATTCGTTTCACCTCTCAGGGTTGTCTTGTGCAGCAGCCAGCCCCTTGCCTACCACTATGTAGAAGCTGGATAACTAACCTAAGCAGGCTGTCTAGATTCCCTCCATGGTTAGTCGAGGGAAAAACAGGCTCTTTCTGAAGGTAGATCTTCCATGATTTAGGCAGCTAAGATGGGATTAACTCTTCTGAAGCAGAGGCTTCAGCCCACCAACTAGAAAGGGACTGGCGTTGAACGGAAGTCCTGATGTTAACAGAGATGAAGGTAGGTCCCCCTGCTTCTTTATAAAGTGAAAAGCAGCTGGTGCTGGTATCGGGGTGGCAACTTCCTCCCTTCAGGTGGAAGATACAGTGACCCAGAGGTTCTGCTCAGCTACAGGGAACACTGCTCCTGTTGCCAGAAACAGATATCAGGAGACAAACTCTGAGTCAGAATGTCATCCTTGATATTTGAGGAAGACCAGTTTCCAGCACAAAGAGTCAGTTCTTGCCCGCTGAATACTGCCCTGTGATGAGGAACAATCACCGGAGGAACTAGATTTCTAGGATCACAGAATCACAGAATGGTTAGGGTTGGAAGGAACCTCTGGAGATCATCTAGTCCAACCCCCCCGCCAGAGCAGGGTCACCTACATGCTTTCCATGTAGGATGCTTTCCAAGGTATAGAATCGTTCTGATAAGGGCAATAAAAATTGCTACAAGTCCCATTGTCTGGAAGCCAACATGAGACAATGCAAAAGACATCCATGGTGAAGTCTTCACTTTCTTTAAAGGATAAAACAGCTAAGGAACAATGCACAGATATAAAATCTCCATTACTACTTGTGGTTTCTAGTGGTTTTTTTCTCCATTAATACTAGTGAGCATTTCTGAAAGATGTGTTTTAATACAGGTAGTACCTACAAATAGGGCCATCCAGTGGTCCATGTTACAGTTGTCAGTACTTAAGGGCAAAGACTTGCACATTGACAACGCTGGTTGGCCTTCGGATTGACTTGAACAGATCATTGTGAGAACAGGAAAGCCGCCCCCCGAAAGACACAATAAGGATGTTTCTCACATCTCTGCTCTGCAAGAAAATGCTTCTTCTCTTATTTGGGAACCAGCCTCCCTGCAGTGAGTCATGAAGAGTATTCATCTCACCCCAACAAACACAGAACATTTCTGCACTTACCATAGTACAGCCCAAAAACTATGCCAGCTCCCAGGAAAGCCCCCAGTGTTTGGGCCAGGGCATAAATTGGCAGCTTGATCCAGGGCTCCCGGGCCAAGAAGCACATGGCAAAAGTGACAGCTGGGTTCAGATGTCCACCTGCGGAGAGGTAGGTGGTTATTGCACTTTTACAGGCAGAATTTGTGTCCCAGAGATGAGCCAAGGGACGCTGGTTTCCATACCAGTGCTCCATAGGAAAAGCACAGCCATCTAGGCCTACACAACAATTGTCACAAGTGAAATTCAGCAACAACATACCTGATACCTGTCCCGAGATCAAAATGCCGAGCATGACAGCGAAGCCAAAGGCCAGGTTAACAGTCAGGAAACCTCCATGAGTCCCTCTGCTGAGCACGATCTGCGCAACGGAGCCACAGCCAAACAGCTAGGAGGAGAAGAAGAGATTGAAATTACCCTCTGTTTCACATGAGGGCCAGTTGCTGACCAGTGCCTGCAACAGCTTCACTTGCACTTGCACATGCCATCACAGCCCACCCATGACTCAAAGCCTTCAAAGCTTCAATCTGCAGTCAAAATATCTAGGTGTTATCTCCAAGGACAGCAGGGAAGGACAAAGGACGCAAAACAAGCCTAACTCCTGGCAGGGGGAAACAAAACCAGGGCCAAAATCAAAAGCAAGGTCAGACCACAGTTCACATCTCCAGGAGGCTGGAGGTCCTTTCCAACCATCTGATTTTCAGGTGGTAGGTGAAAAGAATCAGCCAGACAGCACTCTGGACTGAGGTGTTTACAATTCAGATGAGGAGTCCTTATTGTTGAGAAGGCTAATTGTTTGACACAGTAGCACATAGATTGGCAGGGGACAATTTTGCTAATGCCTGGAAATAGACACATGACAGCCTGAAATTCATGGACTCCTCTTTCAGGTGGCACTGGCTGACAGCAAGGGATTGAGGCTGCTTCTCTGATCTGAGGTACCTGCCTTTGTCCCAGCCCCAAGGGATGCTCTCTGCTGTGGTGGGCACTCTGAGCACAGCCCACAGCATCTCAAACCAGCCATATCCTTCCTATGGCAAAACCATGTGAGAAAGGATCAGGACAACACAGCTGGCTTGTCTCTGCAGCACCAACACAGCACAGGCACCATCAAGAAAAGTCCATATTCCACAGAGAGCTTGCCACCAGCACAGACAGAGGCTTGGCCTTCTGTCCAAGATCGTGGGTGCACCAAGCCCTTTGGGGGACAAAAGCTGTTTCTGCTGGGTGATAAGGGATGTTTCCTAGTAGCTGCGGCAGGCATGTGCTCTTGCTCAAAGATGTTTGCTCCAAAAGGGTGATTCTCTTCTTCCCAACTGCATCCAAAAGCCATCCTTCCTACACTCACCTATAATAACCCAGACCAGATGCCCCTGGCAGTTCAGTTCATCACTCATCGAACTGGAGGCTTTCTGCCTGGCCAAGTCCCTCCACTACCCACTATGTAATTCAGGGAGCCCTGATCCTTATTATCTGTATGCTTTTATCTTCCATTTACTCCACCTGAAGTGATTCTTGGCGTATACCAGGGATTATCACATCAGCAGGTTCTGAGAGCATCCTTATACTAGGACAAGGATTACAGCTTGCTCCTGAAATCCTCAAATCTCGGGATCAAAGCTTGCTTTGTTTTTACTGACCACATGCTCGTACGTACATACTCATCAAGACTTTCTGCTTCTGTGAGCTCCATCATCCCAGAATTAGTCAATTGCCACAGAGGCAGTATCTGCACCCGGGAAATAAGACACCTGATAGGCACCAGGGGTAGCTCTCTTCACCTCTCTTGCTAATACTGGACTGCCCATTGAGCAATGCACAATCCAGATCAGGGGCAAAGCCAAAACACACCTAATTCATCCCCTCCCATCCCCTTGACAACGGATGAATTACTAATAAAGCAAACACTGCACTCAGCCTGCTGGGAAAGGAGCAGCCAGGTAGGCTGCAGGCTGATTCACAAGGTGGACACTCTGTACACAGGTGCCTCTTGACAAGGAGCCAGGTCCCCAACACAGGACCTCCTGAAGAAAGAACAAAGGAACCTGTAGAACTCGTTAGTTAATGAGAGGGAATGTCCAGCACTGCTCTCTACTGGACGCAGTCAGAACAGCCCCTTCAAATGTCCTAACCCTGAGCTGCCTGAGCTGAGAAACCATGGGAGAGAAGACACCCAGGCAAAGGTAGAAAAGATAAGTCTTGCTTATTGTGCAGCAAACAGAGCCATCATTCCCACCTATGCCCCAACCACTGAGGGAAGCATAGCTTCAACTGAGCAAATAAATACTGGCTAATGACCAGAGTGACATCTGTTCCTTCCCTTACCCCAGCAGAGCCCCAGCATGCTTTAGACAGAGTTTTGGAGAGAGTGCTTGGCCATGGCGTTCAGCTCCCTAATGGCACACAGCTCATCACTCTGACCAGGGAGGGGGTGAATCCACAAAAAGCTGCAATGAGCATCTGAGTTTGGCAGGATTGGCCCCAGGTTCTTCCAATTGATGAAGGTATTTGTGTTATTCACTCAGAAAGAACTGGCAGTTCTGTAAGTGGATGGTGGTTGGCTCATTAGCCACATACCTTTTGGTTGCAGAAACCACAAAGTAATTTTCCCCCCCCTCCACTCCCCGGTTCACCCACAAATGTCTTCCCTTAACCTGCAGGAAGGCCAGATCTGCCGTTTCTCAAGAGTCTGTTCCCCATGCTCCTCTCCCCCCATCCTACAGTTGGCAATAGCTCTCCAGCCTTTCCTCAGAAGAGAGTCTATGGCCCATGCAAAAACACCCCGGAGCCACTCCACAGGAGCATTACAGTTATTTATCAGATGAGCCTTGAGCACTATTTGGCTTAATTAAGCGGAACAGTAGAAAACCTGACCCTCAGCAGATAAAAAGAGTAAGGTGATATTTAAGGACAGGTTTGAACTTTGATATGCATGTGTGCAACTTCATCCTGTGCCAGTAGAGTCCGCTAAGCATGAACATATATTTTCATGCATGACACCCAGCATTTGACTTTCAGGAACAAGTTCAAATCATGCTCACCCATGCTTTTGCGGCAAGTGGCTTGACATTACACAGTTTTGCTGCGGTAGTGGCTATTGCAAATTTTAATCACACCATTTCCACTTCTGCTATTTGCCAGTTTTCCTTGCAATTCCTTTTCCCAGGCCATATGAGACATGAGACCTTCAACATCCATTTTTTAAGTCTTCCCTTTCCAATGCTTGCAGAGAATCGTTTAAGAGAAGCTAGCTTGAGTTGAAAGGCAAGGAAGGTCAAATAAAAGCAATTCAGCATTTATCCCAGTGGCTTTAAAGTCCATGGAATGGATGTAAAGGTCAATACTACAGCACTGTGGTTGGAGAGAGTGGTACACACCCAAGGCAGAGGTCACCCCTCAACTCTTGATTTTAATAACCTGCCTCCAACACTTCTTTTTTTTTTTCTTTTTTTCTTTTTTCTTTTTTTTTTAATAAAAAAACCTGAACATTAGTGGAAGAACATCCCAGCCAACAGAAAGCCAGGTTAGCGGCTCACATGGCAGCATGCGCAGCAGTCAACAGTTACACTCCCATGATCCACTAGCCAAGTTCAAAAGTAGTTTTAAAGTGCTAATAAAATGATTGCAACAAAGCGCCACTCTGATGTATTAAAGCTACTAGGAATTGAGGTCAATGCACCCATTAACCAGGTTAATGGAAGGCTGCTCCCTAATTTCATCTTACTGGCTCTAGCAGATCTAATGGCTTTCCCTGCCAATGGGGAGGCTTCTCACCCCTCTTCCCTCATGAGCTGATACAACTCCTTACACTGTGAAAAATAACAAAATCCGGGTTCTGCAGGATCCATGAGTTGAACTGGTTCAAGGGTGGAGTTTAACAAACTCCAAAGCCTGTAAAAGGGAGGGGACAACCAGAAGCAGCATCAGCAAAATCAGGAAAAGGTAGCAGGTCACCGGGTGGAACTTCACGCTCAGGGGAACCTTGAAGTCCCTGTGTGCAGGGCATGTTTGGAGACTGGCCATTTGGCTTTGTCACCCAAGGTAAAAACATCTTAGTCTCAACGTCTGGAGACAAGAAAGCTCTGGAGCTAGTCAGGGCTAGCAGGAAAAAAAAAAAAGTTAAAAAAGCTAATGAAGAAGTGGGTCCACCCAAGTTTATAGGCAGACCTTGTGCAAAGCAGCTCTCTACATGAGCTTGGGAGACAGGTAGTGCTTAGCACTCCCCTGCACAACGGTCAAGTTTCATCCCTCTTTATTTGGCAGTGCTTTTTCACACCTTGATGGGGAACACAAAAGGCCTGGATGGATTTGCTTTTGGACTTCAGACAGACTGATCTCTCAATCAGGATGGGAAAGTTTTGCTGACGTAGCCCAGGAGGATTAGGCAAGAAGCCTGCTGTAAATTTACCCTAATCACCTTGGTGGATGGGAAAGGCTGCTCAGCTCTCACTGCCCTCTGGTTAGTGGGGAAGATGCCAGAAGGGCAGTCAAACCATGGGTCTACTCTGAAGGAAGAGACCCTGAGACATTGATGGAAGATTATAAGCATTATATACACCAAAGGGACCCCTCTCTTCATAGCAGAGTGGAATTTAGGACTATCCTGCAGTCCCTTCAAAGGGGGAACCTGGGAGGCAGGGAGGGTGCAGAGGACTATCACTTTATAGCAAATTCAAAACAACCTCCCAACTCTTTCTCTGCAACTCAAAGTGAGAAGGGGTTAAAGACATTGTGAGTCTCCCCCACGGCCTCTTGCTGCACTCCCCCAAGTAGCAGGACCCAGCTGGGTAGGTTTGAAGACAGATCCATCCCCATTGCTGTTTCTGCTCAAGCTGCATGCAGAGATCTTCCTCAACTCCATGGCCCATGAGGCCAGGACAACCTCCACCAGCCACAAAAGCAATGTAAGGATCACCATCATTTTTGCCCTCCCTCAAAGCACCTCTCAAACAACCAAACTGGTCATAATTTACAGTTTGCAAAGCAAGGAGAAACATTAGACCCCACAGTTGGTCTTCTTGCCCAGCATGGCTGGAGCCACCCTGGGCAGAAGCAGCTCTACGAGGAAGGGCAGCCACAGATGGTTTGTCATGTTACGGCTCTTTCTGCACTGCGCGTTGTCCCGGAGCCAGGCAAGGCTGCAGGACTCGAGAGATAAGGGAGTCTAAGGAAAGTTGTGCCGCACATACATCACGTGCTACAACAACACTGCACAAGGCTGGAGAGACAAGCAGGCTCAGCACAAGGAACCTGAGCAACGGTCAGCAGAGGAGTTGGGCATTAGAGAGGAAATTTGCTGTTTTACTTTGTTCCCACACACACAACCATGGAAGCCAAAACAGTTACTCTGATTTCCCCAGTATCCTTCAGATCAGGAGCTTTTAGTTCTTAAAAAGTCCTGTACTTCTGGTGGGGTTTTGTTGACAGGGTTGGGCACTGCTGGGGAAAAGCTGCCTTCCCACTGAGGGCGAGTCTTGGTGCTTGAACTGTCCTATTTGTAGGAGGGAGAAAACTCCCTGATCCTGCACGAGAACAGCAAGAAGGGACAGTTTTGGACAGTTAATGCAGAGCTTTGAGCTATTCTGGTGGAAGAGGTGAGGGAGAGCAGCAGCGCCGACATTTCCCATGCCTCCACACTCAGCAGTATAGACCCTTCCCAGGGAAGGATCAGCAGCGCTTGACAGGCTTACAGGGAAGATTTCCAGCCCCTTTCAAAACCTAGCAAAGCATTAAAAAAAAAAAAATTAAAATTAAAAAAAAAAAAAAATCCCATTCTCCAAATGTGACAAGCTGGGTTCACGCACATCAGCAAAACTCAAACAGTGACTGTGGGAATTGCCGTGCTGCCCCAGACGGCTGTGGCATGAGCGGCAACTTTAAGCTCTGCACTGCCAGCAGTTCAACGAGGCTCCCTTCGCCTTGATCATCCCAACCACTTTGCAACTTTGGTTTCTGTGGTCTGCAACACACTCAACTCCAAAAAGCTCCCACCTGGCCACAAAGTCAAGACAGCCCTGAGTGAAAAGCAGTTAGGAATTGTTTTGTTCTTTCTTTGTGCCTCTATAGCAGTGAATCACAGTTAGTCTGACTTGGAAATCAATTATAAACAGCAAGTTCCTCCTCCTGCAAATGTAAAAACCAAACAGAGCCAGCTTTGGTATTTACAGCCAGCAGAGCAAGGCAAACAGATCGAGCCTTTAAGGGAGGCACGGAGGCCTGCCGCTGGAAATCTAGGTTTAGTGAGTTGCTACAGTAATAACACAAACAGCAAGTGACTGGGAAAATGCCTTCAGCGTTTGCATTGCTTAACTATTGCCAGTAAGCGGTGCCTCCAACATAGGTATAAAGTTCAAACCTAAAGTACCACTTGAAAAGGGCATCTTGAAGAGGAAAAAAAAAAAAAAACAACAAAACCCAAAAAAACCAAAACAGTCATTTTAATTATCAGAGGAAAAGCAGAATCAGCGTTACTATTCTTGTAACAGAAAGGACACTACCACAGACTAAAACCATATTGTGTAAGGTGCTGTACAGAGCAAAAGCAGCTTGCAAGCAAAGATCACCTCGCCTTCGTGCTATTCAGGGCTTGGCTGCCTTAGTTGGGCTATTTTTCTTATCTTATCTTAAAAAAAAAAGAGGCACTATTTTGTTTTGAGGTTCCTCTACCTTTACAACCTCCTTAAAAAATAGGAAAAATAAAATCAAGCACTAGGTTAATTCTTACAGGCAAAGAGACTTTGCAGGGGTCTGAAATTGCTTTGCTCTAGAAGACCTTGAGAGCACTGCGGTCGTTATGCAAGTGAAAGGGAGGAGGGAAGAAGCTGAAGCCATGCCAATATCCACAGTGGGGCAAGTTTTACATTACACAGTGAAATTTAAAGTAAGCTGCAAACTTTAAACAGTCTCCTTCCCTTCGGCTCAGGAAGTTAATTTCAGTGTGAACAATACCAAACCTTAAATCCATCCCTAATATTGTTCTGCTCTAGACGTTTTTGCATATTTGTTTTCAGCCAGTTCCATTTCCCGTGAAGACAATTTCATGGATCCCATGTCTTTCCTCAGTTATTTTATCATCTGAAGCCCATAACATGTATTTACCAGGCTCAAATGTGGCTAAATACATGCACACCCATCTCAGCCTGCTGGTCAGGTGGGCAGCAGGGACTTTTGCCAGGTAGAGAACGATAATCTCTCTCCTGGGACTGCCCAGTTCAAACCACTACCCAGGCCATCTGAAAGGGGAAGAACATCAAGACCCTTTCTGTTCTAGTCAGGTGATACAATGAAACGATGCAAAAGAATCAGGGTTGTAGGGGGAAAATAAAGTTTTTTTAGCAAAATGAATAGAATCTGTAAGTGTCACTTCATTAACAGAAGAGTAGACTGGAACAGCTCCAAGGCAGAAAAGGATTGATGCCAGCAGAGCCATACTGAAGGCTTGTTGCCCTGGAACCCAATTCCCTCTCTGTATGCCCTGTTTTTGTTTGCTGGCAGCCTGGGACCATTCACCATCTTTGGGACTTTCCCATTTCTCCCACCAGCCCACCCCATCTTCTCCCACATGGACACAGTACCTGCAGTCCTCCTGCACTGTTGCTGCAGGAGATCCCAGGTCACTTTTACAAGACCTATAAGGTGGAGTTGAGTGTGTCACTAAAACCAGCATTTTCTTGCCCCCAGACACCAGCTCAGGAATTCCCGGGGAAGGTGAGGGATCTGCTTATACACTTACACACACACTTTAAAATGATGCAAGTGTGATGCTCCTGAGGACAAGGCCATGTGTTGCCAACTTTTGCCAGTGCATCATCCAGCCTTGCTGATGGGTGCCCATTCCCACCCTCATTTTGGAGGCTGGTTATGATTTCGGACCAAATCCTTCCTTGGGCTCTGAGCACATCTCAGCTCCTCTCTGCCCCAGAGAGGAGCGGCAGTAGGGAAAAGTAATCTCTGTCATACCAGCTAATACAGTTGGAAGAAAGAACAACATTTTTTGGATCACAAGCCCTTTCAAAAGCTCAGATCCACATGCCTAAAGGCCTGCCTTGTTTCTCCGAGAATATTAACTTAGCTAGAAGGAGACATTATGCCTCCTTATAAGTCTTACCTTGCTTCAGTCCTGAGACTAACTGCAGTGACTTCAGTGATTCATAGACAGCAACTTTCTACCTGTTAATCACTTTCCTATCAGCTTCTACCCACCTTAATCCCAAATAATCCTTCATTGAAAAATCAACAAGACTTGTTTGTAAATTACCAAAGGTGGGTCTCTCTGATGATAAAGACATTGACTGCACTGTGCGAAGCTCCCACACAAGACCCAGTAATCTCCTCTTCCTCATCAAAAAAGAATCTTATTTATTAAAGCACAAGATAGTGTGTCAGTCCTTTTGTGTTGTCCCCAGGAGAACATGCAGCTTCATCAAACCTTCCTCCACTTTCAGCTCCTACAACTATTAGGTTTCTTCCCAAAGAGTCCTGCCATCAGTTACAGAGAGGTGTAAACCCACAGTCACTCCACCGAAACCGATAGGATTGCTGTGGCTTTGCACCACTTCTGAGGCACTTTCACCTGCAGCCACTCACTGCGTGAGCACCGACTCATTTCTGCTCCAATATCAACGCAACAGGCTCGTGGCCTCTTGGGCAGTGCTGCATTTTTGGATGCAGGTGCCCAAAGCCAGATATCCCTATCTCAGTTTTGCTACACCAGCATTGGCTCCCCACTCCTCACACACAACCATCCTAGCTGTTCGCATCTGCCTTTGACTTCAGAGCAAGCCAGGGCCGCTCAAAACGTCTTCAAACCAAGTCACTTATGCAGATATCCACCCCCTTTTACCCCTTATATCCCATCCCTTTGGAAACTGAGCATTAAAACAGGCAGAAGAGTTTTGTTGCCATTCACCACTTAAAAACATATCGACTGACTGCTCAGCACTGTCACAGACGTGGCAGGCGCACAATCCCGATCAGCTGCCGGCACAGGCTGCCGCGGTGTCCTGCACCCCCACTGATAAGACCCCGGAGAACATGCAGCCGACAGCAAAAAAAACCAGCTGCAACAGCTTAAATTCAGGCTAATTTTTCTCTATAGGAAGCACAAGGAAAACAAAGCGAGGTGAGGAAAAAGCTTTCCCTTCCCCGGGTGATAACACTTGACCTATTTCAGTGCCAAGAAAATATTCCAGGGCAGAGAGAAAGGAAGTTTTGCATGATCTCTCGCAAAGCACTTGATGCTGACACAGAGACTTGTTGCTCCCTGCACTTCGCAGACACACGAAAAACCCCAAACACCCAACAAGATCTGCAGAGCCCACCCTTTGCCAGTAACCCCAAAGCTCATCCCACAGCAGCTTGCATGAGTTTTTTTTCCTGTGGATAAGGACTTCTCTAGTCCCCATGGGGCGGGTTGCACTGGAGCTGGGCTCATCTCCGGTGCAAACTCTGGTACAGCAGCACAGCCCCTTCACCAGGACAATTTGCCCCCGCACCCAGGGGTTGGAGAGCATCCCTGCACCACAGCATAGACTCACCACCAGGATCAGCGTCCCCAGGCACTCAGCCAGCGCTTGCCGGACTAATTTGTTTCTGATCCTCAGGTGCTCCTCAATAGTAGCAAGAACGTCCTTTTGCCTCCCCATCACCGTAGAGGTGCTCTTCAAGGGGTGTCAGGGAAAAAGCAGCAGCTGACAAAGCCTCAGCAAGGTTTCTTCCCCAGCAGAGATGCCTTTGCTTATAAATAAGTTCAGCGATGCCTGACACACCTCCTGGGTAACCACACCCCTTCCACCCGCTCTTCAAACCCAACTTATTTTTTTTTCCCTCCTTTTCATCATGAGGCAGAGTGGGTGGTTTTCTTCATTTTCTTTATGGCTTGCATAGGTGAGCAGAGGATTCAGGCAACACTTACCATCTAAACCCTCTGCCCCTCTCCAGCTTCAGCTGAGATCCTAAAAGCTAAATGCAGTGCCTTAACCCATATGTGCAATCACAGTACTCTGCTTTCAGCTTGCTTTCCCTCCCAAACTCCCTCAGGATGGCAAAGTGATGAGTACAGAGGCTGATCCAGAGGCTGCAGGTGCTTTTGCAGCAACATCGTGGGGCAGGAGGGTTTGAATCCCCCACATGGTACTGCGGGCTGAGGCCAAGGCACCTCCTGACTCCAGCAATTACCCAGCTGAAGCTGGAACCAAGAAGCAAGACCAGAGCTCTATCCATGAAAAGCTGCATCTGGATCCAAACTCTTGTGTATCGTTACAGTTTCTCTCTCCATCTAAGGGCTTTGGGAGAGCGTTTCCAGCCCAGTCCCCATGAAAGCCATAAAGAAAAGTGGTGAGAGGTCCCAAGTGCAGATCCAATGTCTCGTCATAGAACCTTGACAAGGACACCACCGACTCGCTAATCCTCACAGGAACCAATCCTTGCTGCCTTTTCATCCTCAGCAGTGTCCTGTATCACCCTGGAACAGTTCTATGGGACAGTCTGAATGAAATCTGCCCCAGTCTGTACCATCTGGGGTGAGGGCTGCTAACAGCACGCATGCCACTCGTGGCATCTGGTTTCTGTTAAGTGAGTAGTAAAAATTCCCCGGACTCTTTGACTCACTGGGGCTTCATGCAGAGCAGCAGGGCTGATTCTGCAGGACTGAAGGGGACCGCTTTCCTGGATTTGTTCCCTCGCCACCTCTGCAAAGCCACAGATGCCTGGCTTTTCATCTTCCTCTTATTTAACCATTGATTTTCCTTTTGGAAAAGCAGAGCTTTTTAATGCAGAGGTGAATGACTCCTTATTTCGTACAGAAACTGCAGTCAGCCCGGCGAGCAGAGTCAGTAATGTCGTTAAGAAAGCAATAACGTGTGAGGAATCAAACGCAGTGAAACAGTCAGATCCAAACATAATTACAGGGACAGGAAACTTTCCTCATTACTTTGCACTCAGGCCTGGTCTGTTATCACCAGCATCAATGGGATCCTCTGAACTACAGTGAGCACGCCCTCAGCCCCATGCGTGCTCACCGTGGCTGGGGTTTGCAAACCAGAGCTCAGGACACTCGTTTGTAACCCCCTCTCCCCCTCTCTCCCCTCACCCTCCTGCTGTGCACCATTTGAGTCATGGAGGATCCGCCGCCACTCCTCTGCCTCGCTTCCTTCTGCACTCCCCTCTCCGCTCTGTCCTTTTCACCCTGACTCTGCATCGAAGCCACCACAGACAGAAATGAAGCTGTGTGTTGGGGTTCTTTCCCTTTTGGCAGTTCCTAAGCAAAGGCCCATGGGCTGTTTTGCCATTTGTTAAACCCCCAGTGTGTGGATGCTGTGTTCTGTAGTTTTTTTTATTGAGATTTGTTTAGGCTGGGTCCTGGATCCCATCCCTTCCCTGCTGGTGGGGACAGGGCCATAAGACCAGGGAGAAACAGGAGAGGACCAAGAGGCGTGGGGAGGTGTGATGTTGTCCAGGTGGGTACGTATATTTCTCCTGTCTGCAGCATCTGAGCCCCTCTGGCTACGAGTTGAGGATATAGGAATTTCCTCACAACCGGTGAAGTGAGAGGTGATGTCTAGGCTCACAGGTTGATGACAGAAGATGGTGGTAACACCAGCATCAAAGCTGGTGCTTGGAAAAGTCTAGACAGACGCAAGCCCAAGGAGCCAGGGTGGGGTGGGCGCTCCAACACCATCTCTGCAGCTGACTCACTACCTGACCCTGAGCAAATCCTTCACCTTTCCACATCTCAGCTTCTCCATCAGTAAATTAGAGAGAGTGACCTCGAATTCCCTTCCTGGGGCGTTGTGAGGGTGAATCACTGCAGCCCAAGATCCAATGACTTAAAATGAGCAATACGGACTTATGCAATTGCTTTCCCAACAGAAAGGCATGTTATTATCTAGGAAGACGCTTGGGGAAGGGGCAGTGATGCAACGCCGGAAGAAGCAGAAGATCTTTTCAGAAGCAATAGCTAATCAAAGTGTGGGTAAAGGCTGAAAGACTCCAATTCTGGAGCTTCTCTGTGCCAAGGCAGGAATTGCCCTGCCACACCATTCAGCTGGACCCCAGGGACACATGTTCTAAGCACAAAACAATTAAAGATATGTGTAAGCAGCAACAGGTTTCCAAACAAGCCCTTCTCTGGCAATAACTGGTGTACCGGTACTCACCCTGGTGGTTAGATGTCCACGGGTCAGTAAAAGTAAACAAAGAAGGATGCAGCAGTAAGAATAACAAGGTTAGACCTCAGAGCTGCCGGGCTGTCCTAGTGCTGAGTTGACACAGCAAGATGTCCACACCTGTAGTGTTGCCTTGCATGGACATTCAAAGATGTTATTCCACAGCACAAAGGCTTGAAAAAATGAAATTACCAAGCTCCTGTCACAAAAACTCATGCCTGACCTCCTGGTGGTGGTGACAAAACTACTGAAGCCCAAGCAAGGAACTTCTGTCATGGCCTGATTCATACATCGGGTGTCAAAGTGCCTAAGGTGGAATACCCTTATCAATCTGTACAGTGTCGAAAAATCAAGGCTGGGAGTCAGGGGGGAAGTAACACTTTAATTTATGGAAACTACCGGTTGCCCAGAAGAAAACTCAAAGAGAAAAAGGAAGCTCAGCTCAGCAGGGAAATCAAGGCAATATTGTCCTGTTGTGCTTGTTTGTAAATCTCAGTCTTTTCTTCCAATATCTTCTGGGATCCACAAATATGGGAGTAGCTATGGATAGACCAAGATTTGAACCCATGCCCTCTGACCCCACTCCAACAGAGCACTTGTCTGCAGAGTTTGTCACTTTCTTATTCCTTTCCTTTACCTCCCGCAGAACTGTGCAACATACCACAAGAAACTCACTGTGCTTGGGCTGTTATTTCTAGACATAATCCAAAACCAACACCCAGGTTCCAAGTTTGCTGTTTGCATTGCCACTTGGCTCCCTCCCTTGTCAACCTATGCCGGGGGAAAAATACAGGTGAAATTTTAAAGGAAGAACCAATCTTTGACTCCTCTTCAGCTGTTTTCCTACTGGCCTTAGTGACAAAATAAACTCAGCTTCATAAACTCCTTGGTTTCTGCAGAGTGCTGAATCAGCTTCCAGCAATGTAATTTTTCATATTAAAAACCAGGTTTAACAGAGTAACCAGACTTTTCCTTAAGTAGCTGGATGGATAAACCTGGACCAATGGGTTCCACATCTTGTCCAAGCCAAATTGATTCACCCATCCCAGGATGCGTGGTGCAATCCAATAAGGAGAAAAATGTGAATCACACAAATCTGTAATGAGTCATTGCACTGATTGCTGGGTCACCTGGTGCAAAAGCCGTTATGCCAAGAGAGGTCACTGGGTCAAAGCATGACAGGATTTGTCCTTGTGAAATCTCCCTTTGGAAGATACCTCTGACCATCTCCTTCCCATGATCTACTTGACAGACCAATATGGTGACCTGTTCAGAAGATTTCATTAAAAATAAAAATTATAGCTTGCCTAGCAAGGCAGGGTAGGAAGTGAGTGGGTAGGAAGTTTATAAGCTTTCTAAACGATTCTAGCTGGAGGGTTGAGTACAGTGATTTCAACATCTTGCCTTGAATCTCCAGATTTGCAAAGCCAGGTGTTCCTTTCATGTCTGGGTCTGCTTAGCCCTCCACCTTGAGTTAGAAAACTGGAGAAATTCGTCTGGGGAACAGGGGTAGTCTACACAGCTGAGAGTTGTTTGTGGCATTTGTGTTTGGAGAAACTTAAGGTGAAACTGCAATCTTAGTTCAGGTTCCTTGGACATCTAAGAGAGGCCTGGAAGTTGGCAAACTGGATTTGGACTTTGAATTACAATATAGTAAAGGGAATAATATTTAAAATCCCTGAAAACAGCTCTTCATCAAGTCCACTGCTTAGGACCAAGTGGAGCAAATGGTGACACCGAGCTGAGTCTATACCTCGTATTCAGATGTGTCCCATAGGGATGGGTCCCCCAGAGTTATATCGGACCATGGGCACACCGCCTGTTCCCACTGGAGGTTTCTTGACATGTCTGATTTCCTCCTCATCCCAAAGCCAGTCCCAATTTACAGGAATAAACATCATTCATCACATGCCATTCCTGTAGAGAAGCCATTTTCCAGTATAAGCAGTTGCATACCAGAATAACTACTGTACACTGGAAAAGCACAAATTGCTGCAGAAGAAAGCTTTTTAATAACACATCTGAAAGGAAAGCTATTAAAAACAGCTCTCCTGAAATAGGCCTTTGGCAAGACCTTCTCCCATAAACTGCTCTGTGTATACAGTTGTTCTTCTGAGAGCTGCAGAGCCAGTCCTGACTTGGAGACACTGCTGCTGCTGTGCACCACAGCAGGAGACTTCAAAGACCCTGAAGGCAGAAGACATATAAATGGGGTGAAACTCCATCAGCCTAAAGTGTGAGTCAGGAGCAATGACAAGAACTTTC